TTTTTTTCATAAGTTAGATTAATACAAGCAGTATTTGATACGTTCAGTGTATTTTTAAAAATACTGTATTTATTCAGATGAAGCTGCAGACGGGATTATTGCCGCCAGTGCATCAACGGCCGCAGTTGTAATACTGATCATCCTAATAATCGCGGCAGTGACACTGAAGTTGCGGGGTTTCAGAAGAAACTTGAAAGTAAATATTTTTCCTGAATATTGGCGGAACCTCTTCGTGTAGATGGGGTTGGGGTTTTATGGCACTTTCGATTTTCACTTTTTACCAATGTCAGCAACGTCTATTGCAAATGCTTTTTTTACACGGGAGGAAGTTGCATCTTTTACCAGCTTGCGTGTGCCATCTGGAACAGAAATATCTTTAAATTTAAGTGAAATATAATGTTCAGGGGCGGATTTAGGGCGTCTTCTGGGTGTTCCGGAAGACAGTCAGATTTTCATGTTTACATTGGCGGGTACCTTATATTTTCTGTCGGAAGACGGTAAAAAAATGGAGGATGGATTAACAAAGATAATTTGGAAGACTGTCATAAAATATCTTTGGATCCGCCCCTGATGTTTTATTCCTGGTATATTTAAAATATTGAGTATAAGTCTTCAAACAATTGCGATTCAAATAATTCGTCCGCATACTAAGAAAGTATTGAAGTACATTTCTCCATATTACAGTACGAAGTGGAAGAAGAAGGTTACATGCATTATGATGACGTCAGAGCTGCAAATGTAAGTAAAGATTTTTTTTATTTTGAAGGTTCGCATATGAAAAAAAAAAAAAAACAAAAACAAAACAAAACAGGCGCATAGAAATTACACAGTTTTAGGACAGATCTTGTGTTTTTTATATCATTTTAGAATAACCTACAGAAGGTACTAATATTTCAGTTAGCTTATACCAACGTGGCAGACGACGCGAAGTGGGAGACGCCCCGGGAAAAGGTCACTTTGCTGGACGTGGTCGGAGAAGGGGCGTTTGGTCAGGTGGTCAAGGCGGAAATGGCCGGAAAAGAGCCGGAAGATGCAGCAAATACGGTGGCTGTTAAAATGGCCAAAGGTAAAAGCGCTTTTATGACGACAAGATACAGTTTTATTACCTATCTTTTTTTTAAATAATATCTCATCTTAGATATACAGAGACAAAGTTCAATTGTTCTTCATTATTGATTTGTAATAAATTTAAGCAAATAATCATTTTACAAAATCATTTTTTGACGTACATTATCCGAAAATCAATAAAGAATACATTAAGTTGAATTAATAAAGTAATTATCGTAAGAATTAAGCACATGGTCTGAACTTAATTTTACTTTCATCCTTTTTATCCCAGATGAAGCTGATAAGAAGGACTTACTGAATGAGTTGAAAGTGATGAAGATAATAATTCCACATCCTAACGTAGTCCGTCTCCTCGGCTGCTGCACAGAGAACGGTAAGAGTAAAAATACCCTACTCGCCTAAATTTGTTGGCGTAGAGACCCATCTTTACCGTGAATTATTTCGCTGTTATTTAATTATGTTTTTCTAATTGGATGTGACGAAGAAGAAGAAGAACTACTAATTATTATTATTATTTTTTATTATTATTAGTATTATTAATTACGCGCCGTTGCGTTGAGTACACTTGTATGCTGTTGCCTTAGACGTGACACTCTGTATGCAAGATATGGTAATCTGCAATTTTGGTTAATGTCTTTTTCTTAAAGATATCCTTTACGCTTTTCAAAATGCACAAAACTCATATTCTATGTTTAAATATCCTGCTTATCTCCCAATCCACGTCTTTTATACGACGAAAACCCTAAAAATGTACTTGAAGTCCATTTTTGTTCTGAATTGCCCGTTTGACTGAATCATTAGAAACAGTACAAGACATCGAATTCAAAGACAGGGCCTGTTGAGCAACGATTCATGAATAAGAGAAAAAATAACATTTTTCTCTTAGAAAATTCAATTTTGTGCGACAATTCCGTACGGATTATTTTTAATAGGTAACGAGTTGACGTTGTATCTATGAAATACATAATCGTTTTTCTTCAGATCCAGTTTTGGTCATCATAGAATTCATGCCGCATGGCAACTTGCTGAGCGTCCTCCAGAAGAGCCAAGTTCCACAGGGCAATGTCCCTCCCGAAGACGCTTTAACCGAAACAGAACTTTTGTCTTTCGGATGCCAGGTAGCAAGCGGAATGGCGTTCTTAGACGAGTTAAAGGTAATCACCTTTCCTGCACGCTTAAACTGAATGCAATTTAGCGAGAATCCCCTCGGAGTTAGATCGATCCTGCTAGTACGATAGATTTATGGGAACCCAGTCTAAGACATGAATTTAGCTGTTTTCGAATTTTGTTATTTATCAGCCACAGAAAACAAAACAGGTTTTGTACAAAAATATTATTTTATAAGTAACTTAACGTATCGTCTTTATATTGAAGCTTCTCCACCGAGATCTGGCCGCTAGAAACGTGCTTGTCGGTGAAGGCAAAACCTGCAAGATATCCGACTTTGGTCTGGCAAGGGACATCATAGACAGCCATATGTATGTGAAGAAATCTCAGGTATACAAATCAATGACCCAAAGAAAAAAACGAGGTTTAATCTGTCTTTGTGTTATGGAACAGTGCTAAATATAATAAATGTACGTCGTACTGAAATGTTAGGAAATGCATTCAGTTGATCAACAGTAGGCCTATGTGTTGAGTTTATATATTTATAAATATATGTACATTTTATATAAATAATGTAGATTTTATATATTTATAAATATTTATATATTTTCATATTACTTGTGTTTATATTTTGAATACTTGCAGTTTGTTTGCACATAAAAGATATTGAACATGCATTTTATGAACACGGAGGAGAACTTTTCATATTTTTCTGGTAGCTTTTTTCTTGGATGTTCCATTCCTTTTCCGTGGCTTAAAGCCTTTCACTTCCCCCCTTGTAGGCTCGTGTACCTATAAAGTGGATGGCGCCCGAGTCCATTTTCCGCAGCGAGTATACGAACAAGAGCGACGTCTGGTCGTTTGGGGTGTTACTGTGGGAGATTATGACCCGAGGTGAGAATTGCTATCAATCCTACGGGAGCATTCATATGACATCGTTCTAGTTGGAACCGTCCAACTCTGCTGGAGCTCAAGCTGAGTGCAATCGGCTTAACTGAATGACAAGCCTCCTGGAGTAACTAGTCAAAAGTTCAAAAGGAGGGTTCTTTTTCTGAAAAAGTGGACCTTTTTCCATAAAAAAAACTTTATGTACCTAGATCAACTTTTACCCAGAGTGGACCTTTTCCCGGCAGGGAAAAGGGATGGTTCTTTCGAACCCCCAGAATCCCCCCTGGCTACGGGCCTGACTACCCCCTATCTGGTAGAGGAGGCGTGTCAAACAATAAAGTTGATGCCACTGATTGCACTTAGCATGAGTCCCCCGCATAGTTGGACCGACCCAGTTAGTGCGATATGTGTGTCTGAATGCTCCCTTAGACGTGATTGTTCTTCAGAAAGTATAATGCAAATGTCCTGTGTTTTGACGTTTCATGCAGTTTGTCAAGTAGGCCTACATTTTTTAAAATGTTTATTCCTACTTATACTTACTGTCTGCGTCGCACCCAAACAGTCCGTATTTCTTCTTCTAAATCGTTATCTATAAGGTCCACATTTTGTTAAAGATATTACTGAAATGGATATTTTATAGTCAGTCATGGTGCTTTTATGAATGTCTTTCAAAAAGGACAAGTGCCGTATCCAGGACTTGGTGCGATAGATGTCGCTCGTGCAATACAGAGGGGTCTCCGTATGCAGTGTCCAATAGGATGTAGACCTCAGATGTGAGTTCATCCCTCTTAATACTTCCCAGATCTCTCTCTCTCTCTCTCTCTTTCAGACACACACACACGAGCACGCGTGCACGCACGCACACACATACCATTCTCTTTTTTCTTTGTATATCAAGCTCCTCTCCCTCTCTCTCTCTCTCACACACACACACACACACACACACACACACACACACACACAGAAACACACACGCGCGCGCATGCACAAACACACACACATCAACATTCAATGATCCCAACTCTGTATTCATATATTCACCAGCTATGCCATCATGAGAGACTGCTGGCAGCCACAACCAGAGGACCGCCCGCTGTTCAAAGACGTGGAAGCGAGACTGAAAGTCGTATTACAAGCCACGGAGAATGCCGATGAGGACAACCTGCAATGTCCACCTAACAATCCCGCTGTCGATTACGTCCGTCATGAAGATCTGGTCCCCTGTGTGCAGGGGTGAATGAGAATGACGATGTCATTACTTACGATATTCTCGGGATTATAACGATTAATATAGACATGGTTATTCAGAGTACACAATATAATGCAGGGTCATTTAATTTGTCTGTCTACCTGTCTGCCTATCTCAATATCCGCCTTACTGCCTGTCTGTCTAACAGTCGATTTTTCTCCACATTAAAGAGCTTACATTTTTTGCTCAAAGTGCATGCATGATATTAAAACGGGTGCTTCTCTAATATCACTTCATGACAAATAATTATAGAAGCCTGAAACAAGTGTACTGGTCAGTATTAGGCGTTTATGACGTAACCTGTAAGACATTTTTTATGTTGAAGTCTGAATGAGATGCTTGTGCCGTAAGGGTATTTTCAGTATTGACGTTTATTTGAGTTGCTTGTGACGTAAGATAATTTTCTTTGTTGACGTCTGAATAAATTGCTAATGTACGGGAATTTTCTGTGTTGATGTACGAATGAGTTGCTTATGACGTCAGACAAAACTTTAAGTGCTGACGTAAAACACAAAAGTCTATAAACTTACGCTTTACAGAAAATTAATAGCACAATTAGGAAGGTCACACCTGACGCATTGAAAAGAGAAATCTACACATTTATATACATCTCAATTATCAATTGTATATTTCATTGGTCTACAAAACGCATCACATTGTATCCGCAAATAACAGTTCGAATTATCTATAAATTTCTTATCGTAGCTTATCAAAAAGATACCCGCACTAACATCATCACTGAACGTAGTCACGGAGTTAAATTTGACAAAATATACCATTCTGAATTGATAGTGTTTCTGCGTGTGTTAATAACAACAATAATAATTATAATAACAAGAGGAAGAATAGGAGAGTTTTTTTCTGGATTCTGATTACTCCTGACAAAATGAACATTTAATTTTTATCTTTGTCTTATCTAATACTGATACCGAAACTGTAACGTGAAACGTTTATACCAGTATATAGGTTACAAGCATACCGGAATCGACGGGCACTGTTTGGAGATTTGTACAGTAGTTCTATTCAAAACGTTACGTCATTGTGAGGAACTGCTCTTTAGTGTAGAGAGACCTCTTTCTGTGGACGGCAAAAAATTCCCAAGGGGATATAATAGGAAAGAGTCAGCGTGACCAGGTTAACTCTGTATAAATTGATCTCAGCATCAATATGTCTTCGATGAAAATAACGACTTTGTTATACATGTGCTTCTCTGGTCTATCAGCAGGAGTCTTGGGCAATCCATTGGCAAACAGTAGTCAGAATAGCGGCTACATACGTTTTAAGTCAGTTAAAGAGGGCACGTATACAGTATACATGACGTCATCGGTTACGCAAATCACTGAACGATATGGAAGGCAACGTGACGTTAGCACTGCAATTGATAGCAACCAAAGCAAGCAAGTCACCAGGAAATTACACTACAAGCCGCGAGAGGTTCTGGGACCGACAACCATTGTAGGGTCGCATTCCGGATATCATACTCATAATCAAAGTGACGTCACGGCAGGTTCTATCACTAACTGCACTATGCCGCGGTCCTTAGCGACTGGAGCAAAACATGGCGTAGTTGTAACCAGAAGAATAGCTCGGTTTTTGATTTATTCGTTAGGAATCGTCTTCAATCTTCTCTCAATTGCCGTATTCTGCCGAGGAACATTGCGTCACACTACAACTTGCAACTTCATGATCTCCGTGTCTATAGCGGACACGGTGCTACTCTTGGACGGTTTTATGTTTTTGTTGGAGTATGACGTAGACGTTGACGTCATATCTCCCAATCCAGCTCTGTGTAAAACGGCTCTGTTCGTGTTCTACTCCGCGCCAGAGTACAGCGGGCTGATCTTAACCGTAATGAGCGCAGAGAGATTTGTCAAAGTGAGGTTCCCCATCAAGGCGAGCACACTATGCACCATGAGGAAAACCAGAGGGATAATTATCGGTGTCTCAGTGGCTGTATTATTTATCAATTCACCCGTGCTCTTTACCGATCTACTTTACGAATATATACCGGAGTGCAAAACCACGATATGTTGGAACTTTCTCGTCTACGAGGCCAGGCCGGTCGGAAGTCACGGTATACTGTCATATTATGCTTACATCCACAAGTGGCTTTCGTCAACTTTGTATTGGATCATACCTCTGACGTCACTTCCGGTTATAAACTTCCTCATAATCCACGAGACCAGCAAGGCGACCGAAAGAATAAGAAGTCAATCTGAGCCAGCTGAGGGAAAAGTTACTGGGCAGCACAGCACGGCGAACCACAAAACGCCCACTCTTGATTCGCGAGAGAGAAGCCAGAGGCAAGTCACGCGGATGCTCCTCGTCGTAACGTTTGCTTACGTCATTCTTGTGACGCCAATTAATCTTCTTAACACGGGGGTCATCAATTTGTGGGACACGACGCAAAACGTCGCTCGTCAGTGGGTGTTTACGGTATCCGTTCTTCTCTTTTATATCAACCACTCAATTAATTTCTGGCTGTACTGCTTCAGCGCGCCAAAATACCGACACGAGTTTTTTGAAATGGTTTATTTTGCAAAAAGACGCTGTGCGACCTTGTGGACCAGGCTGCCCAAGATCTCGACGAGAACACGCGAGGGTATATCACGGAGCATGGACAGTGTGGACAGTGTGAGTCACAGCACCTCCAGCTCTGACGCTCACGCCACACACATTGAATTATCTAGTCGGTCTCAGTCTGTCTTGGCACGTGACGTTGAGCTAAGCAGGTCACGTGATGCTACGTCTATGACGTCATCTGGTCTTGGTACCCTGGGAAACAAACTGAGACAAGTTCCATCAGCTCTGAGGAACGTCGCTTTGCGAAGAGAACGCAGTCGGTCCGTCATCGCCCAAAATGACATGTCCACTCATATTGTTTCTAATATGTCATCCACCTCTCTTGAGAGCATGGGGGTTCAGCCTTCTTCTCAAAATGACCATGATTCACAAGTTACTTCAGTCTTTTGTCCAGATTTCAATGGAAATGGACAAAGGGAAAGAAAATTAGATGTGGTTGACGTGGGTGATTTCAAAAACAGTGACATGGTTTCAAGTGTGAGCAGCCATTCCATGGTGAATGAGGTTGAAGCAAACGTGCACCAAGAGCAAAGCAGACGGAGCTACGTGACTTTCTCAGTAAGTGACGATTACGATACTATGGAAACTGAAGTATAAAGACGTAATTTCCAGTTAAGGATTTTGTCAGCTGTGCTATTATCCCTGTAACTCTGCTACATCCTTAATTAAACTACCTACAGATAATTTAGAATAAAGATATTATCATTGCAACATTTCGGTGTCTTTCTTGTGGTTCTTATATAAACGCGCCTTCTCAGTTTAAAAACATATAAAAATATTTATATTTACATTATATCCATATATGTATTTATTAATTTATTTGTTTGTTTGTGCTTTGTTGTAGTTAGTTGTGCTGTCATTGGTTGTACCTTGTATGTGAAGGCGCTTATCAATAAAGAATCTATATAAAAAGATAATGGGTTTCCGTTTTATTTTATTTCATTTATTTATTTTTTTTTTTTTTGGGGGGGTGCATGGAGGGGAGGGATTGAAGGGGAAGGACCCTTTGTACGCCATACATGTGTACTTATGCCATCGTCCTGGATTTGATCAGTTGAAGTCGACTATTTCTGTCGTAACCAACCGTCATATCAATAGTGCATTTGTCCTAGATGAAAATAAATAAATTAATTTCTACTCTGCCCTGCATTAAATGTTTTTTGTTGTCTTTGAGACAAACCAACAAAAATATAAGCGTGGTGGAGTCAAAGCGTTCTTTCATTTAAATTCAAGTTACAAGAAGCACACATTCACGTGCAATAAATTGCACGTGAATATTCGACAGACATTACCTTTGTCATACCTGAACGACTGTAAGTCTAAAAATGGCCAGGTTTGTCCAAACTAAATCTTCAAATAAGTGAGGATATCAGACAAGACTTTTAAAAGACCGATGCACTGATTTTAAAACTTCAATAGAAGTGGTATGCATTCTATCATATGTAAGTTACAGGGACAGAATGCTCATAACGTTGTTCTAGAACATCAGGTGCGCCGTATTCGAGTATACCAATGTCGCAATAAGGGTGCAATGGGCATTCACTTTTGCTGCTCTCCTAAATTTCTTTTTGCCCCTCTTATTACGAATGCAAACCGAACTCAACACCTCTGATCTCTAAAGTTGATAACCTGGAAATCATAATAATAACAATAAACTTTGGTCGATGCCTTCATTGTCACGGTACTTGAACGATATTGGGTCAGATGAGAGACAGTTGATTAATTCTATTTCGGTCCGATATACATATAATCTTATCTAATGGTGTGCAAGGGGTGGCACTTTATTTTGTATTGCTATCACACTACAGGATAACAAATGAAATGCAGTTCAGCTTCGCTGATAATCACAACTACCTCAGTTTCAGTTTTTGTTTTTTGGCTTTAACAGCAAGTCAACAAATAACTACGATTGCCTTTACTTTATCTAAACCTTATAGCATTCTTTAAGTTTCTAAAACAAAATATCGGTAATCAGACAAATATATTTTTTTTTTCTATTTCTATTTTCATTTTTTTCAGGTTTTTCTTTTTAAATCCATATGGCAAATTAATTAATTAATAAAATTAAATAACATAAAATAAAATAAAATAAAATAAACCCATTGCCTTAAAACTTGATTCGTGCAAATTAATTTAAAACAGCGATGCAATCGACCTAAAATTCACTAATTGACGCTAAATCACGAGGATCTTTTTTTTTCAGTGCATAAATCAAAAGTGCCACCCCTGGACTCAGAATAAAACCGCAAATGTTCCACCATAATCGTAAACCTAGTCCTGGTGCCTTTATTCTCTGATTGGTTATTTGAACCAGGGGAAGGTTCAACACACTCTAACCCATAACTGTATTTTCAAAAGATGGCTCTTGCTTTTATTGGCTCTCTAGTTATTATCACTCTAGTTATTGCTGAATTGGCTTTGCCTATTTGGTGATAACCTGTGGTTAGATATTCTGCATATACGTACGTGTATGTACAACTGAATGTTCAGAGACGCCACTAGGTAACGTGGCTCGTTAAAAAGGGGACACTTTTAGACCGTAAACGTACCAGCTGGCGTCTTGAGACTAGCGGATTGGCAATAGGCCCCACCGTGCAAAGAGCACGCAAACCACGGCAAACCTGCTTGGCGTTGGAGACAATGGTTCGACTGTTACGATCTGGGTTCGCTCCATTTCAGGCCAGCCTCGCGTCAGTGGCGTCATTGGCCGTCGTGGCGGTCTTTTTGTTCGTGTTATGGGTTCCAGGACCACAATTTGTCGACGCCGTAGGGAAAGTGGTATCTAGCACCGAACACGTAGACCAGACGCCTGCCTTCAAAATGGTGAACTCCCCTAATGATTGTAAGAACAATCAAATTAATCAAACTGGTGTAAATGTAAGTGAAAAGGACAGAGACACAAACTTCGAGCATGAAAAGTGTTTCCCAGGAAAATTTAAGCAAATAGACAACTTCAAATCTGGAGAAATGGCAATAAGGTTTGTTCAAATTCCAACGTCAAGACAAGCTGGCGCCCCTTCAAATAACCTGCAACTACGAGGAGTGAAGCATATTGGAAAATTTGTTGGAAAAGTTGCAAGAAACAAGGTACCAAAATTCCAATCCTATAGACTTAACTACCGCTACCAAAAAGAAAGCAGCTTTACTCGAGAGATTCATAAAAGACTACGCAGAAACTTAGTTTGGGAAGACGATATCACCCAACCAGATACATTTTATTACACGGAGGGTTCAGACTTTCAGCAGACGACACTGCGCTCCATCCATAACAGCACTTCCGAACATGAAAACTCAACGGCAACTCCTGGTAACTGTTCTATGCCAATATTATCCTTAGAGAACGGTGGTATAAAATTGACAATGTACACAAAACGAATCGTGGAAGTGGCAACCAAAATCCGCTACTTTGGTCGTCTTGTCATTTACTTCTCCGGTTTAGTATTCAACTCCTTAGCCATCGCCGTCTTCTGCCGTAAAACGTTGCGCAATACGACAATGTGCATCTTCATGGTCGGCGTCAGCGTGGCCGACATCGCCGTCCTCATCGTCGGCATACTTTTTTTCTTCGAGTACGAGACGCCGACGGCGGTGATGTCGACAGGGGAGGTCCAGTGTCGCTCAGCGGCCTTTGCCATGACCGTAGCCTCCGAGTTAAGCGGGACGCTGCTCACACTCATGAGCATAGAGCGACTATTGAGGATCAAATTCCCCACGAGGGCGTTGATATATTACCATTTCACGGCCAGGAATACCCGGATTCTTATTATAATTGTATCATTGGTCATGGTTATGATAAACATCCCACTGCTGTTTTCCAGAGTTAATATTGAAGATAACTGTCGCCTGAGACAAGTCTGTTGGAATATTTTTCACTATTCGCCGGATCATCTTTCGCGGATTGGTAAATATAACATAGTTATATCTTCACCCTCACTGTTATTCAATAAATATATCTTAAGCATGTAGCTAGACAATACGTTCAGAATTTCTGGATGCTTTTGTAATAACTTTAAGGATTAAATATAACTGATAATAAGTGAATTCAAATCTGCGTGTAAAAAAGCCGTTCGTATTTTGCATATCCTTTACTTCGTTTTCTCATATATTTTTAAAAAACTGAATGATTATGACAATTCATTCAGCTAATATGTTAAATATACATTAGAAATTGATTTGCTTTGAGCTTTTATTGTAATTACTTCACATAAAATTTTGTAATCTTCAACTTCAAAAACAAATACAGTAATCTGAAACAACTTTTAAATTGAAAACTAATTTTCATAATTTATTTTCCCGCCAAGATCGCTATATCCAGGGCGCCAACAAATGGGCGTATGCTGTAATTAGTTGGATGATCCCAGTGGTGGCGCTCCCTATCGTCAACGGCATGATCATCTGGGAAACGAATAAAATCCATAGGCGGCGCAAGCAACAGGTTGCTAAATCAAGACTAAGTGGCGAAAAATCTTCTTTTATTCGAATTATGGACAAGAATCAAAGACAGGTGTGTAAGATTAAATTTTGCCCTTTTCTTACTGTAAAATCCAAGGTTTAAAAAACGTTTTTTATTATAAATTTACTTTTTAATCGCTTTCTCAAAAATTATGAATTATCTTTATTTCGTCTCACAGCCTATTTACTTCCATATACTTTTAAATAACGCCGTCGTGCGCGTCTGCCTATTGACATTTATTGCAATAGGTTTATGTATCCTATTCATTACTTTTTGGTGTGATGCTGTATTTCTTGGGCGAATAATACGTATTATTAGTCCAAATTTATGTTTTTAAATGATATCATTCAAGGTCCAGCGCATGCTCCTTGTGGTTACCTTCAGCTTCCTGTTTCTAACCACGCCCCTTAATGTTTTCATGCTGGACATCGTGGAGTGGTGGAAGTCACATGACGAACGCCATCAGGTGGCGCTGACGATCACATTCACTGTTTCAGTGCTGCTTTTCTACCTCAACCACGCCATGAACTTTTGGTTCTACTGCATCAGCGCCAGTAAGTACAGAAGGGAGTTTTTGAACATGGTGAAAACAGTAAGGAAGATTCGAAAAATGAGTCAACGTTTCTCAAAGAGACACAGTACAACACTGGATCTCACGCAGACCCCGGCGCCTGTATCTCGCCGCCGTGTTGGCGACTCTGGCGAGGCAGAGACAGATCCGACGGATGAGAGGGAATCCGGTTTTGGGGGAACACGGAGCGATGTCCCGTCTTGTTCAAGTGTTCTGAGCGCCAATAGGATTCACAAGCGGGTGTCACCAGCTCCATCTTGCGGAAGTCGCCTTTCTTTTGCCTCACGAAAAACGACATCTGCAAATAGCAATGTTGCTGCGTTTGTTATTCCGGAATTTTTAGACGAAAAAAGCACCAACAGGATTCACAAGCGGGTGTCGCCAGCTCCATCTAGCGGAAGTCGCGTTTCTTTTGCCTCACGAAAAACGAAATCTGCAAATAGCAATGTTGCTGTGTTTGTAATTCCGGAATCTTTAGACGAAAAAAGCTTAGAAACAGAAATCGGATGTAATTAAAGTGTATTAAAAGTGAAGCAGATGATTTTTGTAATGAACGAAAGCGAGTAAATATAT